GGTCGGCAATTCGCGACAAAGACAGCACCCACTCCTACACATACAAAACCGCAGAACCTTATGGCTCTTTAGGGGGGGCAAAAGAATGTTCCAACAGAGCACACGCTCGGCCGGGCAAGAGGCCAGCTGTGCACCAAGTATGAAGAAGCCATGTTTGGCCAGGCATATTGCGGACTTGCTATAGATGCTTTTGTCTGCATCCAGATTCGGACATGTCAAATCTTCTGCGAGCTCAAACTGCACCTTAAGGCCATGAATCAACAACCCCGGTGAGAGGGCGCGAACAAACACGAATACAAGTACACGCACAGACAGACGACCCAATCTCCTCATGGTCCTTAATGCAACCTGAACAGCTATCTAGTACGTAACATTGTGACATCGTCCGTGCTGGCCGCCGTGCCTTGAAGACCTTGGGCAAGGGCCGATGGACGATTGCAAGTGTCCGCGCAAGATGTTGGGGTTCCGCCAAAAAATAGTTGCCGCTTGGAGCAAGGCCAAGTCTTTCAGCGAACCTGAGCCTATCCTGGAGGAAACTTCAGGGACGGTGGATGTAAGTAAAGTACAGCCAGCTGCATACAATCACCGCGGTCACGACAATCTCACACTCAGTGCAGTTGCAGCAAAGGTTCATGGTGGCATGCTGCATTATGTCACAGAAAGCCGCTGAAAGTCTCAAGGAAACTGCCCAAAACACTGGAGCTTAGCTCATCTCAGCTCCCTGCGCCGGGCTGTTCTTTACCACTAGCGGCGCTCGGAGCGTCATCTCACCTGATGGTGCCCAGCCCTTGCCCTTTCTTCTTGCTCGTGCGTGTGCGCGCCCTGGGCCATTGAAAGTGCTCATTCATTTTCAAGAGGCTGAACGGACATGACCTTACACTCTGAATTGTACCACTAGAATGGTGAGCGCGTTTCTTTCCAAACTCCGCAGCAGCTGCTGTGCAACAGGTCCATGCAATGCATGTTGATCTTTCATCCGACCCGTGGAATGTTTTACGACAAGCTCCTCAGCCCAGCCCTCAACTCGAAACGCCCTTTCGTCGGGCAGCAAGACTATCAGAAGGGTCTGTCTAGACAACACAGCTTGCGTCTTGAGAAGACTTCCATATTATAATCGATTTCATACATGCAGAGACAGGGGAAAGGGGGAAGGGACATGTAAGTTTCGCGCGTAACGAATCCGTGCCCTGCGCCCAAACAGAAATCCCACATGCACGTTCCCAGGCCTGGCATTGCCATCAGGTGCTTGCCAACCCAGCCCTCTTGACTTGGTACAGCTGGTGCGAGCATCAGTTCGGCTGTACGGCTGAAATCGATTTTGCACCCACCCAACCCTGCAGTGGGATCGACATGCCCATGCAGCCTCAACTCACCTGCGGGAGCGCAGCCGCCGTTTTCACTTTCTCTGTGCAATCAATGTGCCACTTTCTGGGCACAGCGACCTCGCCCAAAGGGAGAAGCCGAAACACTCGTTAGCGCGGTGTCAGGCTCTGTGCCTACCGTAAGTTCCAAGCAACTGTCGCAGGATCGGTATGCAACACTTAATTACACTGTGAAGAAGAGGCCAATACCCCAGAATGGAAATGGAGAAAAACAAACATGGATGATTGACCTCATGCCCTCGTGAATCAAATGATCAAATGGAAAGCTGCCACACTGAATCTCCGAAAGCTACTGGAGGCTCAATGCTCTCAGACTGAACTTCGTCGAGGCATTGCCTGCCGTCCGTCGCATGGATGTGAACTATGTCAGAATTACAGGGTCAGCCGCTGAAGCCATGACCTGTGTGAACCGTCCTGAGAAAGCAAATACCTAGCATTGACGCAGACCCAAACGGGTCATAAGGATTTGGGTGACACAGCGCTGGGCAATGAATCGCTTGTCCGGAAGGACAAGCGGGTCCAATGTTGAACTGTGAGTTGTGCTACCCATACTTTCGGCACACAAGGCCGAGAACTCCTGAGTCTAGACCCAAGCTCCACCAGAAGGATCTCTCCTTGATGCAAGGACCCCTAGCTCCCTGAAACAGTATCTACTGCAAACCGTGAGACTCGAGTCAGCCCTGGCCAACTACCACAACCCCGCACAACAATGTGCGAGACCTTGGCTCGAGGGTGCCAGAACCCGGGAACCTGGCGACCTCGCCAGACCCCAGGAGGGCAGCTCCTTGGTCGGAGATGCGTTTCAGGGTGCTTCAACTTTCGGGGCTTCGTGTGCTCTCACCTGGCAAGCGCATGGAGCAGGGATGCTCGCACACCTGAACCCGCTTCATGCCGAGGACAGCCGAGGATTTTGGGACTTAGGCAACTCTGAGCCTGGCACGGAGGCCGCAGCATCCGAACTGACCGATGCCACTTCACCTCCACTTCGCAGCCCACCTGTCTCAGCGTTTCTCTCCAATCCCTCTCCACATTTGGGGGGGTTAGGCTTTTTGTTTTCAGCCCGCCTAGCTGATGGTGTCATCGCACTGCTGAGGGTTTGGGGTTTAGTGTGGGAAATGTGGGAAGTCCGGGGCTGAGTTTTTTCTCAGAGCTACAGCTGCGTCGGCAGGCAGCTGACAGCCGGCTAGTCGCATGCTCCCCTATATTGCTACATTATTACGTTATTGTAATGTGATATTGTTATCTTGCTACTGACTATACTAGGACATCATTGCATTGTTGTACTATACGGTGAATACATAGTACCATATTAACACTATATTCCTATTCGTAGTGTTGTACGGCTCTCGATTGCCGCGTGCTTCAGACCACAACCGTGGTCGCAGCATCGGTTTGGGTGCTGGCAGAAGTGATCTAGCCACCGTCCCACCGTATGACATGTTGGTATTTCAAACTCTCCCCTCCTCCTCTCTCCATTCCCCATTCTGAAGATTTTTGCCCTAGAAAGCCTCATGTACTCGCAACATGACATACCACCTTTGAGCCCTAAGTTGCTCAACCCTTGCCTAAGCATCTCCCAACTCCCCCAAGTGCAGCTGTCCACCACACACGCGAAGCTGCTCGACAGACGTGAAATTGGATCCTTCAAAAAATGCAACATGTCCGCGGTTCCAGAAGCCAAGTGGTGGACGGGGAGCATCCAGGACTCGCCATCCTCAGCAAACGCCGCACAGCTGGTCATTCGCACTGTGAACGGCAAAGCTGTAACCCTACAAAGCTCAAGAATATCCACCCTACGACTCGCCGAGTCCCCTGACACCGAGCAAAGCCTGGTCTCGTGACACGAGGACGCGTCTGCTTTGCTAGTCAGATGCCTTTGAACCGGCCAAGTATCCGATGGCGCATTGTTAAAAGCATTGTCAGTCCGGTAGAAACTCGCAAGAAAAACAGCATGCATGTGCTGAGCCAGGTCCACCTTCCGAGGTCTGTACCATCTGCATAGCCTCCGGGCCTTGCGTGACGTTTGGGAGGCGGGGGTGGAGGGGGGTGGAGGGGGGGGCTTGGAGGTTGCGCTTGTAGAGTGTTTAGGCGCTTAGATCCTGGGCTTTGTTGACATTGCTTGACTGATCTCCAACAAACGGGCCGCGAGGTTCAGGATTAAATCCGAGTGCGAGGTTCAGGTGCGGTTGGGGGTCCTTGAGCTTATATGGCCAACTGAACAAATCATCAAGTGCAGGATTGCTCTGGCAGGGGCGTGTTGTAGCGTGTGCTTGAGGGTATCGGCTGGGCGAGGTGCAGTCACTTTTCGTCATTTTCATCTAGGCCTAGTCTCACAAACTTTTGGTATTCGCATGTAAGAAATATATTCGCATACTGAGGGGGGGTGCGCGGTGGGTGCGGGCTACTCATGAAGTGGGCAGTTGGGGCCCAAATATGCGCAAAGCCTCTATTCCGTTTTTGTTGCCTGACGCTTGCTGATTGGCCCAGCGCGCCGTGCCTCTGAACGCCTTCAGTGTCTCCCAAAGGTCGCTTGCTGGCAAAGGTCGCGTCGAGAGGGTTCAAGAGGCGCTGCTGCAGAACGGCGCTTCGTAAGAGGCTTTAGAGGAAGCAGTGATCAGTGATGACACGCCAGTTGAACAGATCTTTCAAGCCCCCCAAAGTTTTCCCTTTGGGTGGGGGCCAGGCAAAATAAGCTCTCGGGTCAAATCACAACTTCACATTTCCAGCCTTCCAGCATGCTTGCGAGCTGAACTAGGAGATCATGGGCGATGCAAACACAAAAAGGGGTCAAGTGTTTGAGAACCTCCGGCGTAAAGACTGGCCACTTGGCTAAGATGCTCGCGTTCCAATACCATTTTCATGGCTGCCGGTCGAGCCAGCACCTGCGCGGTAGGCTGCTGACAATCGGGGGGCATTGTCCATTGCACGACTATCAGCTGGGTCAATGAATGCAAATCTTACCAACTGTTGCCAAGGGGCTAGCTGGTCGGTGTTGAGAATTCAGCAACTTGTCGTTGCTAGTCACTACACCGTTGACCCCCCAAACCCAAAGATAAAACTCTGTTGACCACGAACAAGAGAACCCCACACAGCTGAAACAACGTCGCCGTAAACGGACACCTCTTGTGCACTAAGATGATTATGCTCGGTAATGACGTCGACGTTGTCAACTTTTGGTGAATGAAGATGCATGGCAGCGACTTTGAAAACCTGGCTTTGTTTCCAGAACCTTGTTCACAAGTCCAACGGATTCAACAGAGTTCTGTTAGCGGTAAACGCTGAACATTTCAGGGGGTACTTGTCCTGGTGCCTGAAAAATCTCACCATGCTTCTGCAGCCTAAGGTGCCATGCGTGATGATTTCATGATACAAGATGGCCAAGCAAGGGTTTCACCTATTCTAGACTATTTCGCATGCATCTACCCTCCCACCCTCCCGCAGCCTACAGCATGGACGGGTGGATAGGGAAAGACCTGATAGACCAATACTTGTAGACCGAGTCGCATCAACACCCGCCCCCCCCATCTTACTGCCCTTCATGACCACAAGCCTTGATACAGCTTTGGCTTGTTTTTCGCAATCGAAGCGCTCACAAGCAATGGGTTCACTAAGCGCAGGTTAACGCGCACGTCTGCCGTGCTCGGCTTGACCTTGCGAAGTGGAAGATGCTTGCAGCGCATAGGCCGCCTTACGCCTTTTCTCCTGCATTAGGAGATTGGCTTCTTGCCGTCGGCGTTGTCGCCACAGCTCCTGAGGAAGCTTCACCGTCCCTGGTGCGGCAGTCTGACACACCGGTAGATCGCCAGGGCGCACGTCCCCGAAGAATGTGCCAGATGCTTCGTCCAAGTGCAGAAACATACCATTTCCGACGTTTTGCAGGTGCACCGCCCCCTCACTCGACCCGCTGTCCGCACGAAAGCGCGCCTTCGGGCCTGCAAGATGGGGACTTTTGCACAAACTACGCCCTCTGCCTGTGTTGTTTTTTTAAATGTATGTTCTTCCTCTTCTCCGGTTCGAAATTTCTCCATTGGTGTTGAGGCCACCTCCCTTAGGGAGCAATCCAACCTTTTGGTCAGCAGCTTGGATGCTCACTTTGTTGCAACCCAAAAAAACCAGAAGTCCAAGAAAACCCTAAAGCCCACGGCGCCAGCCCAAATCCCCACCCGCCCTACCCCCCCCCGGAGAAAAACAAAGAAACGAATACAGAACCTCCCCTTTTGATCCTGGTCGCGGGGTGAGGCTTGGTTCCGGCGAGCTTCAGCTACAGACCCCTGTGGTTCCCGTTTACCAGCAGTACAGTTCTGATTCTTCTCTGTTGCTTTCCGCTGTTCCGTGCTTCCTTTGCTGTTTGGTGGTTTGCTCTGCTTCCAAAGGTGCTGCTCTCTTTCTTAGGGGCTGGCAAGCAGCAAAGCGGCCCCCACGCAAGAAGCATCCACCGGTGCAGCCTAAGAGAGCGGAGTGATTGGAGGGGCCGAGGACAACGAAAGCCAGCCTGGATTCTAGGTGACATAAAGGCCGGCTTTAAGCACCTCTTCCAGGACACGCAAAACCACAACGCTGAACCCCATCTGCCTTCCCCCCCCCCCCCCCCCCCTGCCCTTGCCTTCGCCTTGACGATCCCACCCCCTCTTCTTTTTTCTTAGCCTCCCCCTCAAACAGCTCGCAAGGCAGCGAGTCCAAATCTCGGGTCTGGTCCCCTCTTTCCCTCCCCATCCTCTTCTTGTAGTCTATCTGACCTTCTTGCTGGTTCGCACCACCACTGGGAGGGTATGCGGCCTTGAAAGGGACCCCATATAAACCCCATATATACCCTAGAAAACCCAGAAAGGTCCTGACTTCAGAATCCTTTAAGCAAGGTCAGGGACCATATTGAGGAGCCACGGAACTACCCGTAGAGAATCACCACACCACCACCGCACTACCACCGCACCACCGGCACCACCAGCGCCACCACTCCAACACCCCACTACAAACCACCATAGGCCCATGCTAAGAACCCGAAGGGAAAGTTGGCAGTGTAAGCACTGCAGAACAAGCGATTGAGAGCAGAAACAGGTGACAAAAGGGCATATTTTCCAGCAAAATCTTGGTCGACCTAAAAAGTCGTACGAACACGGGCTCCTACAGCGCGATCTAGAACGCAAGACCCCTCAAAATATAGTGCGACCGAATTTGTCCGCTTGGCATTCGTTCAAAACAGCCAACGGCCGTCACCGTCAAATTTAATGTGGTCTGCTGATTAGTGTGCCCCCCCCCCCCCCCCCCCAACGAACGGATCCCCGTCTTTAGTGTGGGGGGGGGGGGGGGGGGGGCAATTTGGGGGGTTCTGGCTTTCGGCTTTATACGACTTTAAAAGGGATGAGTTTACATGAATTTCAAAGGGGTCCATATGATCTTAAACGGGATGAGCTTATGTGAATTTAAATGTGCTCCATATGTTTTTATTAGGGGTGCGATTGTATGAAGCTAAAGGGATCCATACGATTTGAAGAGGGATGAACTTCTCCACATGATTTTAGAAGGGATGGGTTTACATGAATTTAAAGGGGATCCATCTATCCCAACCAACCCAGCCGGCAAAAAAAAAAAAAAAAAGTCCGGGGGACGAAACGTTTTATGTTTTACGGCATTCGGGCAACAGCTGGACTACCCCCTTGGAAATTTGATCGCCTGGCCAGGGTACAAAAGCATTTTATCAGGAAATCTTAGCTTTGGGGCTGGCCTGGAGACTTAAGATTTCAGGGCCCGGCAACCCGAGGACTCAATTGCTCAGGCTCAGATCTTTGGTCTCTCAGGCTTCGTTCAGAAGCGATTTCTAGACAACAACAACTCTATTCAACAGCCTCGTCGAAATTTTGCATCGCCCGATTTGTTTTTCAGAATTCCGGGGGACCTCCTCAAATAGATCCCGCTGAATAATTTGCGGATGTTTTTTTCTCACAATTCCGGGGGACCGCACTTCTCAGGATACAACATTACCCCAAATGTGTTATATTGATGGAGGCAATGCTGACCTCCCCAAAAACTCAAATATATGCAATAAACATAAGTCCAATAGTGACCCCCAGCCCCCCCTCCCCCACCAATCCCACACCCCCACGGGCTGTGAATCGTTCCCATGCTCAGTCATAAACACAAGCTCTGCTAAGCTTGCTTTCGTGGTTGTTCTTCTCCACTTTTTGCCCCTCTCCCTCTTGCTTGCGATCTGCGTACTCAGTGAGTGCATCCAGTGCGTGGTCGTTGGTCTTTGCTTTGTCATCACTTGGCAGGCCCATGCAAGAAAACCACAACACTTGTTTGCCAGAGTCTAGCCGCTAGAGGATTGCCCAGACACATCCAAACACCTGTCTTTCGCACTACGAGTACTGCTAAGCGACGCTGAAACTTCTCGCAATATGGCACGTGCAGGCAGGAGTACTTTGGTGATTTTGTATCCCGGTGAGTCCTCGTCCCCCTGCAAAGTCCACGCGTCCCGAAGGGAGTATTCGCAAATGCCCGGAAAAGGAACCCTCCAAAGCAAACGCGAAGAACAAGACCTCTCCAGTCCTTGGCTTGGGATGCACTTGGGCTTCACGGACAGCGGAGACCTTTATCACATAGACTCGCAACCAAGGCTCTGCAACTTCTCGACAAGGAGTTTTTGTTTCGCCATGGTCACGACAGCCCCCTCAGTCAAGGCATTCAGACCCTGTGTCGATTGGACCTCCTCCTCTTGAAGTTCAGGTTGATCGGGAGCTTCACCGGCTTCTTCTGGAACCTCTCCGCAGGACTTTTCACCGTGCACTGGCGGGATGCTTGGACAGCGCTTATGCGACTACACACTGTAGCCCGACTGAGCATCGGTAAAGAACCCACTGACTATAGTCCCGCCGGACCAAGATTGTCTTGAGAAGGGGTGGACTAAGCTTTCGAGAGAAGGGCGGGTCACATTAAAACAAGCCCAAAGAACAAGATCCAGTCTCAGTGCCTGTTCTCTTTAGTATTCAGACTTGCTAAGGCACCCCTGTCGCACCTAGTCTTGAACGTTCACTTTTTGAAGCCCTTTGACCGAACTACCCTAAGCGCCCTCCGACCCTGCGCCTTGTCTTGAACTGGCTGGAGCAAGTCGTCCTCAGCCCTCGGCAGCACGCCCACGGGCCCACCTAGGTGAATCGTGCGCACCTGGAGTATAAGCCATCATGTGTCTTCTTTATCATCTATTATCCTTGAACAGCAGTGTTTTAAACATAAGCCTTGTCACAGAAAAATGTGCGAGAACTAAAATCGGAAGGGCAAATACATTTGTGTGTAACCCACGCACTGCACGGCAACAAAATCTGGCGGAGTCTAAGGTCCTGTCTTCACCACTTCAATTGTTGCCGATTTGTTGGTCTTTACTTGTGGATGGAGCTCTACTTCAGTCTTTTTACATGTCCAAGGAAGAACTGGGTTGTACGAAATCATGAATAGCACAAAGGTGTCTCAGAATCATGGCTTGGTCTGCACACCGGGCAGGTCCGCACCGAAGTTTGGTTGAACTAACGGTTTACACAACATGTGATCAGCACGAGAACCTTAGCAACTCTTAGTATTCTTAACACCATATCATTCGTATATTCGATGATGATACAGTATGATGAAATAATTCTTGTGTAAGGCCACGCCACTGCATCCCGAAGGAGTCTTGGGTTGCCACGTTTTGTCTATCGTGTGCGTCAGGCTCGCGGCTCGCATTTGGGGAGTGATCAAAGAATCAAGAATATAGAGAACGTGGTAGGCCCTGGTCGGGTAGGGGGCCGCCCTTGAGGCAAACTTCGTCTCTTGCGAGAAGGCTTTGCTCAACGAGGGGAGCCGGCAAAGACGAGTGTTTGCTGGCCTTTATGTGAAGCCCCTGGCGTGCACGAAGTCTTTTGAGTGCGTGAGCAGGAAAAGGTTACGGATCGATCTTTCCGCGACCAGCGCAGCAACCTGCAAGCCCCTGCTTGCACTGGCCCGGGGCAGCCCAAGAGATGAAGAAGTCTCCCGCTCACGGTTAAGTTTAGGGCTGGATCGTACAGCCGAGCTTACAGTTGCAATGGCGGCAAGCACTTCATAAACCGACCCCACAACTCTGAGCCTCATACCCTGCCGCAGGGTCTGCAGTCCGAGAGAAGCTAGGTTCTCTGAAAGTTTGCGCAAGTACTCGCGACAGAGATAACGTGCCTCCCAATTAGAATAGAACGACCATATCTCCTGAAGGAGTACAGAACAGTCGCAAACAAAAGCCGTCTGGCTTGATACGGGGGTCCACCGCTGAGATACACTCTCTCACACACTCTATATGCCCTGCTCACTCGCAGCTAAACCTTGTTTTCTTACACGTTTCACTGGCTCGCTCCTCTTAAGATTGGCCTTCTAGAACTGAAACGACTGAGTATAATTAGATATATATATATATATGTATGTATTATATCTATGTATATGTACATATACATGTATACAGATATATTAAAAACATATATATATATATACATATAACTTGAAATCTCAATTCAGCTGGTGCCGCAGGATGAAGCCGGCAGCCCGGCCCAGCATTCGTCTGCTGGGACCTACCGCCGAACAGCAGTACATGCAACGAGGCCTCGGGTTTAGGGTTTCGGGTTTAGGTGTAATCTGACTTCCAACGGAGTCTAGTGCACTTCGGGGGCCGTTGGCCGGTCTCGGCTCATTCAACCCAACTCTTTATGTTTGGCGAGACGTTTTGTGTTTTGCGTTCGGCTCAGGGTTTGGTGGCGCCAGGTTTATGTGGTCGCTGGGCTGAGTTCACTGCGTCCGCCGTATTCATTCAACGTTCTGACAAGCAACAAGCTGATGATGCATGGCCTGCGGTCAAGCTTATAACAAACCCAAAGGCAAGTCTTGAGCCAATCAAGGCCCTGCCTGCTCACCCTTGAGCACCTGACTGTTCTCCAAAACCACAGCGCCCTCATGAAGCACGGCCCCAGGGGACCTCAGCGGAAACTCGAGGTTCAGGTCCACGCTGCAGCTCTCATATCCCCTCCGACCCTCATAATACCCGGTGGCTTTCCTTACGTTTGCGGATGGACCGGCTCCCTGCGAAACTTCTTATCATCCGAGCCGAAGCCGCTGAACATCTCTAAACGACGTGCTTAGGTGCGCGCCCAGAAGACCCCTAAGCCGTCTCAGCCGAGACGATTTAAATTGTTAGGCAATTGGGCGCTTGCTGGTTCTCTCGAAATCTCAAACCAGATCCCGTTCAATTTATTTCCCCCTGCGCTTGCAGCGTTACCTGTCGGATGAAGAGATTCAAGCACGTGATTCGTTTTGCTGCCATGTTGCACCATTGAGTGTGGAAGCATGGAGGTATACGACTCGAGAACAGTGGGTGCCAGCTTGATCACCATGTTTTCGACTGTGTGACATGTCGTATCGCACTCCCAGCCCACGCAACATCCATTCCCCATCGAGAGCAAGTCATACTCCAAGGCCAATCCAAACAAGCAGCAGTTCTGCCCAACCGTCGCACCCATCAGCCTGTAATACCAAACTAGAAACTCCGTACCCTGGAGTGCATCAACTGCGTCTTCCATCACTCCGGACAAGATCATCATGACCGTCCAGCTAAGGTGATACTTGCTGAAGAAGGTGTAGTCGCCCTCCTCGTACTTACCGATGATGCTCCACTTGAGGACGTAGTTCAACAGCAAGATGCCCACGCTGATGGATGCGTAGATGAAGGGGAGCAACAGCAACATTAGGATCAAGCCATAAGATGTCCAGGTTTTCCAGGCAAGCATGCAGGCAAGCAGGCACTGATAGATGGGCACGGGGCTGCAAACGATTGCAGCAGCAATGACGCCGAAATTGAAGCCCCAGAAGAATTCATCTGAGTTTACCCTGCGCATGGCTTCCCACTCTGTGGCCAGCTGGTCCTCTGTCGAGGTCTGAAACCTGAGGCGGACAGGTTTGCCTCCAACTTGGCCAGTGTTGATGCTTTCGGGTGGAAAGTAGGAGTCCACGGGCGCAAGTGAAGCGGATCCAAGAACAGCACGCTCACCAATGCACGTCCCTGGCATCAGGACCCCGTGGTCCAGTACATTGGCGCCACGAAGGAGTTTAACTTCCTGTCTTCCCACAGCGCCCGTGCAGTGCACGGAAACCACTGAGCCAAACACGACATCGTCTTCGACAGTGAAGCAGTCGTGCTCTGCCACGTAGACAGTGTCCATCTGCACACGCCGACCGATCTTGGAACCAAGCAGCCTGTACATGATGCTCAGCACCTCTGTGCCCACGAAAGGGTCCATAGCGTCATCGAAGCTCCTGGCGCAAACGGCCTGCTCATGTAGCCAAGTTCGAAAAGCATCTTTGTGCCACTCCGATGAACCTCAAGGACTCAAGGACCAGCTTGGCATGTGGCGTACACGTACTAGCAATACGTTTCTGCTCAATGTGCTCAGCAAGCAAGCAGGGGTACTTCACTTCAACTAATCTGAGCTGCAACACGCTGAAACCGAAGCTACGCCTTCTCAGAGCACAAAAGAATGTGCGACACTACTCCTTAGATCCTTAGATACTGGGCCGTTTGCTAAGTTTGCTACCCATGCATTTCTGATGCACTTCGGTCGCTTCGGAAACTCGGAACCTTCGGCGGGTGCTTCCCCAGGAAGGAGGCGCCCAACCAGCGCACGCTTTTGAAGGACGGTCAGCAGGAAGAATGTTAGTGCGAAGCCGTGCCGGTACACCAGAGGCGCCAACAACCAGAAGATCCAGCTGCCGCCTTCTGGAGAACAACACACAGTACTTGGACATCACACAGCACCGAGAACAGCGCGAAAAGGAAGAAACCGCTATTTTCAACATGCTGTAGTTAATTCAACGATGACATGACAACGAAAGCAGCTTTCATCGGACGTGCCCGCGAACGTCCACAGTAGCTCCAGGGCATAGATGGTCGGGACGATGGCCGCACTGTGCAAGATCAAAAGCCAGGGCAGTCCCACAGCAAGACGAAGTTGATCCTGCCAGGATCAACTTCCCTGTTCTTGGGACATCGCTGTGTATCCCAGCTCCTAGAATTTAACAACTGAAGTGTTGAGACTCTTGCCCTTCCCGATCCTGCGTCACGAGGCGTTCTATCTTCGAAGGCTGCAAAGGGCAAACGGCTCCCACCGGGCCCATCCATCCGGAGGTCGATGCTAGCGGCGGCACCTCCGAACCGCTGGCGACCTGGGAATAAACCCTCAAGCATGATTTCTTCGCAGCTTGCGGAACTTTGGGGCTTGGGAAGGAGGGCTCTGGATGTGAAAATGAGGGCCAGGGGCGTGCAGTGTGCCGGGAGGCACAACAAAGTCGAAACGACCACGTTGCCCATGCCTGCCAAGGCGCATCTGTGCCCAGTACCAGCATCGCCCGAGGCATCACACAAGACTTGGACTGCACCTTCACAGTCCCCAAGATGAGTTCGCCATCCATCAAGCCTGCCAGGAGGAAACTGGTGATAACATTTACGGGAGGCGGAATGAGGGAACTGGGTACAAGTATCTTCTATCCCCCTATATGTACCCTTGGAGGGATTCTGTAGGGTGCCAAATTCCCCATTCCCTTCTAAGAGTTTTCTGGGGCTTTCCTTTCCGTCGCCTGCGGCACAGATGCGGGCGTGGTTGATCGACACATCGCTGCCAATGGTGACCAGATCAGGCTCCTCCAGCTCGGGGTCGTTCAGGTCCACCTTCACAAGGCTTCAAATCATGTTGATTACTTTCCCCCCCAGTTGTGCATTAACAAACGAACCTTGAACTTTAAATCCATCCACATCCTGGATCCTGACCGTAGCTCCTTGCAGACCCTGACAATCCGCCTCGAAGCTCTTTTCCGCCCCCTACCCCGAACAATTCAGGGGAAGAGGAGAACTGCTTGCGGGCAGCGAAGGGTCTGCACTCATCAGCGCAGCACATGCGTGACTGTGGAGCGGAATGGGACTTCTGCAAGGGAGGTGTATTCGCATCCCGGCAATGCAGCCAAGCATTCTCTACGTCTGTACATCCTTCGTCTTCCAGGCAGGCAAGGCAATCAACTGCAAACCGAAGGCCGAGGTGCCCTCTCGCCGATGTCTGCACCGAGGGCTCGGTAGAAGTAAACCAAAAGGCACCTGAACTCTTGCTGAGCTTGGTCATGCTTGGTGCAGGGCATTTTTCATGACGACCCTGGGGGCCTGCACAGTTGGGGTTGAGGGGGGCTGCTTGCTTTATGGCTTCACAGCCTTTCAGCTTCAATGGAGGACTCAGCGTCCAAGAGTTATCCCTTCATACCATGCAAGAGTCGAATTTGTCTGATTCCATCTGCGCATACTATTGCTTGGAAGATCGCAGGGTTTTTGAAGCACAGGTCTGCTGAACCTTTGCTATCCTTGCGCAGCTTCAAGAGGCTTTCCTTTCCTTTGATCTTCGCGAAGAGTGGGGCTTGCCAAGCATCCGGTATACCGGGCGTTGGAAGAAGCATCGGCTTTCGCAGGGGTGCAGTCCTGGAACGTCCTACACCCTGCCTGGCGCCGCCAGTGAGCACTACCTCCCTAAACCCTAAACCCTAAACCCTAAACCCTGTTGAGATGTTCTTGGGAAGCCAGTCAGGTCACGTTCCCGAGATGAACTCGGAGATCCGGTCTCGGCACTTCTCCACCAAATGACGCTGGAAGAGCCAAAGGAAGTAGGTCTTCCTTACTACAAACTGGGATGTTCCCCCTTTTGCAAACAGTCCTTAATAGGGGATTATAGTACCCCCCCCCCCCATTATAATCCCTATAAAGGACTGTTAGTACAAGGGGTAACATCCAAAAACATCAGTATTGCCATCATACCCTTTTGGTGCTGGGATTGTCGGGTTCGGGATTGTCTTTTTGGCTTTTCAACCTGAAGCCGGTGATAAATCCGTTCTTTTTTTTAGGCTAGCCCTTCTCTAGCAGGTCACTACTGCAACATCCACGCGATCCCCGCAAATCTAGGTTTTGGCCCAAGGCTCCCAAACAAGGGATACCTCCCCGGCTCTAAGCGTCCAACGACCAGCTGCTTCAATGCAATGCACACAGCGGCCTTCCAGGCACCAGCATAAAAAGCAGCTACACACAATAAACAAATAGAAACAAGTACCGCAAATATAACTAGAATTATATATATATATATATATAGCTATATTTGTGTATACGCACACTTTTTGTATACGTGTATAAACATAAATAAGTAATATATATATATATATATATATATATGTCCGTATATATATATATGTATATACATATGTTCATCAAGGTGTGGGTGTCCTGGTGTCCTCACCCCGATCCGATGATCACTACCATCTCTTTCATTCATATTATTGTTCTCGTTCTTATTTTTATGATTTCTGTTTTTGACGCACCTACTTCAATGTTACTACCCATCATTGTGCCGAACATGTCTAGGCCCGGCTTGATAGAGTTGCAGTTCGGGGTCGAATTCTCTTACAGCTGGTTCCGTGCCTCTAGTGCAAGAAGCAACGCCAACAGCAGCGGAAGAGAGAGAATAAGCGCGCTGCGGCCATAAGCCTCAGTTTGGATTACGTGCAGACTTCGGTGGGAATGTTGCTGGGCTTATGCCACGAGAGCTCACTGTTTCTGTCGGCTTGGCTTGGAGGGGGGGATAATCACAGCATTCATACGGCGACCATGCCCAGACCACCGGTATTTCAGCGTCTCTGTCTCTGTGTCACAAAACGTCCATGCCTTTGGCGAGCATGCCCAAAGCATTGGTCTCTGTACAACATGCTGAACAAGGATTGTTGACGTCTCTGGAGCAAGCAAGCTTCAACAATTTCGACCACATGGTTCCTAAGCTCTCGCCATCACTTTGCGCGATATGGTACGAATGGTACGATCATGGAGACATTACGGTGGCTGGGCAAAACGCACTTCGGCTATATGTCGCACAACCTTCGGTGAAAGATCAACCGGTCTTGCACTCTGAAACCTCCCCGAGCAAAAACCCCTTCTTGTGCTTGTGTGAAACCTACAGCCAATGCGGGCCTTGTAAACGGCCCAGGCCAGCAGCCACCGAACAAGCCACGCGAAGTTGTCGCCAAGCCTGCGTCGGGGCTTCGCGTTGCGAGAGGGGAGTTTTGGGGGGCGTTGACATGATGCCATGGGAGCATGTGACAGCCCCTTGCGTAGTTTGGCCTCTGGGATCGCTCCCCACCTCTAAATTACAGTGTCTTCAGTACAGGACGTCGCAAGTTCCCATGCGTTGCTGTGAATTCCATCACTCATCCGTACGATGCCAAGACAGTTCGTCGTTAAGAAGTCCATGAAGCACCAAGCGGCATAAACCCCATAGCCCTGTAGGTACATGCCGGCACACGGGGCGCATTTTTCCGACATATATACATCTACCTCTGGAGATGACATTGCCGCAACCCCTTAGATGCTGAACCCTCAGTGCTGCCCCAGCTGCAGATTTCCCGTAACAGCAATCAGGAACTGAGCGCCGAGGGCTGATGGGGTCCTAGACAGTGGTTCGTGTTTAGATTCATTGTGTGTAGGCTTTCCGAGTTCTTGAGTGTACGATCTAGTTCTTTGGCACTGCAGAGAAAGTGTACCCGCCCCTGTCAATCCGCAAACAGAAGAAGCATGTCAGATTCCAATAGCGTTTCGTGTCCCGACCGGGGGGGGAGCATGTGGTTAAAAGGGCTGGACTCCTGCAGAGGAACCTTGAAACCAAATCGCATCCCTCAGAATTTGTTTTTGCATTGGGGGGGGGGGGGGGTTATAATTGAGTTCCGGGACTTTTGAAAAACAACATGCGAGGGGGTTTATAAATACCAAGTTAACATTCAAGTCAAAAGCCTTGTCGATCAGATGGCGCAGCTCTCTGGAACTCACCCCTCACAAAGCAAACCGTTGCAACAGTAGTCGTCCTGGCACTTTGAGCCTTGTACCGCTGTCTTCCAGGCACGGCCACCTCGCAAAGTTCAAGAACTATGACACCCCATTTGGGGCGGAAGTAAGGGGGACCGTTCATGTAGACTCCGAAATAGCAGGATCCCCCTAAAGTAAGCACCCCAAGAAGGTACCCGTTTGAGGCATTAAAGGCTCGGCACCTGGGTCACCTCGGCGGTCTTGGGCTGCTCGCCCGACACCGCAGCCCCCAGCTTTGAGGCCAAGAGGGCCAACTTGGCGATGGTACTGTTGGTGTACCTGTTGTTGTGACTTGTGCCATCAACACAGGTGTACTTGATGACTCAAGTATCGAAGAAGAAGGCTTGAATGACGATTTCAATGTTACTTTCAACTGTCATTGCATTGCTGTCAGTTTGCATGGCCGTCCCTGGCAGTTGTACGCCAAGCTCTTTGCGCAAGAGCGAGGTCGCTTTCCCAGCCAAGAGGGAGTTGCCACCTACCAGCGGCCAATCTGCCTCCACGCTGAGGCCTTGGTGGTTTTCTTGAGGAGAGTATGCAGAACTGGCAGCACTTCGGACATCTGCGAAAGAAACAAGGAAAGGCGTACTTAAACCGAAGCCAGGAAGCTCTGGGGTGCTCGGTCCAACACCTGGCCCCAAACTTCCCGGATCTTTTCTTCCAAAGCATCGCGTGGCTCCACCACCAGTGCGGCCTCCTCGCTCTCCCCTTGTGGCTCTGGCGGTGCTGGGAGCGCCTTGCGATCAATCTTGCCACTGGCCGTGCGCGGCATGGCTTCCAAGAACACCACCTGTGGGCATCGTCGAGGGCTGACTTGCACTGAGATTAAGTGATTAGTAACGATTCGTAACTCAGTAGATTACTACTTTTGGAAGGCGATCAAAGCGAAGGCAAAGCCTGCGCGGGCACCATGTAGGCAGGAAGGCGACTGGTGCAAGCAGACCGCAAAGTCGCCTGATCGCCTCCAGGCATGATCACGTAGGCCACCAGCCGCTGCTGTGTCCCTTGCCTGGTCACATTGGAAGGGTCTTTGTTTCGCCCAGACCAGAGGTTCGTGATCCCCTCGCTTGTCTATGTGCTTGTGATATTACGACAACAGAGAACAAAATCATGCATGGCTTTTGAGCATCGGGTGCCCGACGACGACGCACACAGAATTCTTCGCTCCCGCCGCACGCAGCGCTTCCTCGATCTCCCCAAGCTCGATGCGGAAGCCGCGGAGTTTCACTTGGAAGTCGGCCCGGCCCAGGAAGTCCAAGATGCCGGACTCTCGCCACCTCCAACAGCCAATGAACAAACAAGCGCATGGCTCAGATCTCTCTGCAACTATACAGTCTCCTCATGTCTCCTCCCTCTCTCTCTCTCTCCCTGTGTCTCTCTCTCTCTCTCTCTCTCCCTCTCTCCTCCGGATGCAACGGCAGGCAACGATCTAAAGCCCATTTTGCGCCCCGCCTGGCCAGATCCCCGGAGGCGTAAAGCCTCGTGCCCTGCGCCCCTGGAAAGCGGTCGAGGACGAACTTCTCTTTGGTCAGCTCCGGCATGCCCAAGTAACCCCGTGCGATGAAGTCCCCGCCGAAGTAGATCTCACCGGGCTCCCCGATACCAGCCAGTCCCCCCGAGCTGCAGATGAGGATCCTGGACCCCTCCATGGGCTCTCCGATGGGCATGCTCTGCCTTGCAAAGGCTGTAGACTCACTAGATGACACCATGACACATCCCAACCCTTCGGTAGATGAAGATCTTGGGGAGGGAGCTGGATACCACTCTGCAGACAAAGGTGCAGGATGCGCCCCATGGGGAGGCGCCAAACTGTCATCTCGCCTTTCCAAAGCTCTGAGGACTGAGGACTGCAGTTGACCACAGAAGGCTCGATTAATATGGATTTTTTCTCCGAAATTCGGGGTACCTTCTTGGGGTCCTGATTATAAGAAGAATCCTATTCTTTGCAACAAGGAATCCTAAGCCACATTGTTCTGAAGTCTTGACAGGTATGTGCAAGACCCCTGTCCTTCAGATGTTTTGGCTTGAGGTTTAGCCCTCGCCACCGAGCTTAGGTTTACCCTTAAGGCCCTTTGTAGCCTTGCTTGGTCAAACTTAGGTTTTGCTGATCTGCTGAGGGGTCTCCTCGTGATTTCGGATGGGGCGTGTCACCCATGGTTCAGTTATATCCAGGGTTTTCTGAAGGCTGTCGCCAGCACAATTGGGGTCTTCGGACCGTGGTGCCATCTGAGGATGCATTAAGGATGCACGCAGCAATCGCTGCCGGGCTCATAGCCTGTCTCTCCATGTTACGCTAGGCTTGGGACTGGGATACCCCTCGCTGCGAACTCAAAGTCAAAGTCAAAGACATCATCAACCACATGATGAGCACACCCCTGCCAGGATAAATTCGCAGTTCAGGGTATGGAAAGCCAGAGTGCCACAAGAGTGCAGCAGGAACCTTCCGTGGGGCCGTAGAGGTTGTCCAGCGAGCAGTGGGGCAGGAAGTCAAAGAACTGCTGGGCGAGGCTGGGCGGCAAAGCCTGGACATTCTGTTGCTGAATGATGCAGTGTTGGGTGGGAAATTGCTGTGCAAGTCCCGCCCGATGAACTTGTCTCTGATGGGATTCCCCCAAGCTAACTTGTCTTTACAGACATGTGGGCAAAGGCCTCCTATAGCTGTCACTGCAGTAGTTCGTACCTTCGTATCGTGATCTGTGTTTGCCGGGCACCCTGCAGCTAAAACACCCCGTAACTCCCTCACTACGGCCTCGCCGCATGTGATGGCAGCGTTGAGGTCTGGCCAAAGTTTGACCTTGATATGTCTGTCTTGAGTCTTGAGGTCCTTTTTGCAAGTGTGGATGGCCAGCTAGCCTGTCTACAAGCTTCGCACTCTGACCGGAGCTTGCAGATCGGAGATGATTTGGCATGGAAGCTGGCATGTGTGAGATCCGAATGGCTTGTTGATCTTCGAACTCGAGCTCCGCAAACTCGAGCAATGCCCGGAGGACTGATGGAACGAACACCTGCTTCAAGGTTGCACGGAGAACTTATTGGCTATCAGGCGTTTTTTGCACCCTTTGCAGGATTCTTCAGCTGGTTGACGACACCGGGGAATTTTCAACGAAATCTTGAAACCGGACAGGCATCTCTGTCGAGCATTACCGGAGACACTTCTGAAGTGGAAGCCCGTGCGATCGACGCGGCACAGTGGCACCATCGCAGTGCGTTGCACTCTGAAGCAAGCGCAAACCACAAGCCATAAGCAACCACCAAGGCCACTTTGAAAGCCTGGAAGGGAACCCAGCCTGGGTGCGCACGTGATACTGCTCCGAGAGCTGCCACAAATACCTGGAGCATTGCCTATCTAAACGGCAGAGGGTGTCAACTTGAAACCACAGGGTGGCCCATGTCTCGCAATCTAGCGGAATGCTGCAGGATGCTTGTGGTGAGTTGCAGAGAACTACGTCTAGATCTGCATCAATATCGACATACACCACCCCCATGTAGTTCAAATCTCATGAAGCACAGGTGCTCCATGTCCTTCTCCCCATCGGGACGGCAAAGGACCAGAGTGCCGCCCACTGACAGAGGCCAGAAGATCTCCCACTCCGAGAGGCCGAAGGTGTAGCCTCATCGAAGGTTGGGTCCAGAGAAGATTTCTCCACTGATTATAGTACCCCCCCCCCCCCCAATAGAGTCCCTATTAAGGACTGCTAGTACAAGGGGGAACATCCCAATTCTCCACACTTGAGGTGTTCGAAGTCATTTTCTCAGCTCCAGTTCTGGACTGTTCGACGCCTGGACGCTACACAGCTACGAAAATAAAGAGACTCTGTGTTTTTTGACTGTGTAGCGTACAGGCATCGACCAATCCAAAACTGAACCAGAAGCCGGGGAAGCACAGACCTGGAAGACGACAGTCCAAGCCAAGCTTCTCTTTTCCGGGGAGGGGGGGGGGGCATTAACCTGCAAAAACCTCTATCAACCCTAACCCTATACCCTAAACCCCAATCCCCTTCGAGCAGAACCCTAAGCCAGAAATCCATGAACCCTAAATCCACTACTAGACCTTAGAAAAGGAGCAGAGTACGGAGAAACGGAGTTCGAAGCTATGGAGTGCGGAGCGACGGAGTATGGAGCAACGGAGTACAGAGCAACGGAGTGGAGCAGGTTAGTGGACGCCGTGTCCACCCACAACGCACATGTCATATTCAAACTTGAGCGAGAACTTCTACATTGATGAGGGGTCTGGATCCGAAGCTCTGAGACTAGAAGCGGGTCGGGCTAACAGTTTCAACAGCAAAGCGCGTACTGTCCGAAGTGAGCTGCTGTGCTTCAGGATTCCGCACTCGCCGGCCGTCATCTGCCAGCGATCCTGAAACCAAAGGATGCGGTGCACCAGCCCACGATGTTCCACCACAACTCCTTTTGGCTTGCCGGAGGAGCCAGAGGTGAAGAAACAGTACACAGCACTGGTGCTGCTCGGCTCTTTGGCGAGGAGCTGCTGAGGCAACTGAGCTTTTAAGTGCCTTTGCCTGATTTCCAGTATCTTGCAGGTTCCCGTGTGATCGCGCAAGATGGACTGCAGCCGATCTGCAAAGCCAGGGCCAGCGCAGGCTGCGCGGGGAGCACATTGAGTGATCACCTCCAGAACACGGTCGTCTGGCCACTTGGTGTCCAAGGGCACGTAGCCTCCCCCAGCAAAGAGGATCCCGAAAATGGCGATGATCATCTCTATGCAGCGCTGTGACATCAGCGGTACTAGGCTGTCCGTTGTGACGTCCGCGGACAGAAGCTCCGACGCTACTTGCCCTGCTTCTGCCGCCAGCTGGGCATAGGTCAGAGATTTTGAGTCTTCAATGATGGCCGTCTGACTGGGCACGCTGGAAGCCTGCTCCTGGAAAAAGTGATGGATGCACCTATTCGAATCCAGGTACCTCTCCGACCTTTGGTCACTCAGATCCATCAAGAGCCACTGCTCCGGCTCACTGGGAAGCTCCAGAAGTCCAGCTGTCAGACTATGGTCTGCATACAGAACCACTTCCAAGTGCTGCAAGACCCGGCTGGCGATGGCGGGGCTGAAGAGGCCTTGCTCGAAGAAGAGTGTGCTCACGAGACCTTGCTCTTGAACCTCGCAGTGTAGCTGAAGCATGAGCTGACCCTTGCCAGGAGGTGCTGTCCAAGTCAGGTCTGTCCCCCCACCCGGCCCGAACATAAAGCCCACCCGGCACTTCAGGACCTCGGCTGGAACAGCTGACCAGCAGGACCGGGCATCAGCCAAGCGATTGCGGTATGCGTCCGCGGCCTGCTGCAGTGTCAGCTGCTCTAAGCTCGCAAGCCGCAGGGCCACTGTACTATCCTGGGCCACTGCAACGAGAACCTCCTCGGCGCGAGAATAGCGACAGAGCAGGAGGATCCACGCTGCGAGGACCAGCTCTGGCTCGAAACTTCCACCCAAAATCCGCTGAACGCTGCCTACCTCATGGGTTAAGTAGGCATCCAGGGGGTGCAGAGGCGGGAAGTTGAGCTCGAAGACAGGTGCGTTCTGAAGCTCCTTTGTCCAAAACACATCCGGATCCAAAGACTCATTGAACCCACCAGCATCCTCAAATATGGCCGGCTCCTCCGAAGCCACAGCCGGTTCTTCTGTTTCAGGCTGTGGCTCGACTTGCCCGACAGGCTCGACATGCTCGCAAGGGGTCTCTGTGGATGTATCAACCCGCCGCTGCCGGAGTCCTTCAGATTCGACAGCCTCCGTGCTCGCCTCGGCCTCAGCCGATGAGGCGGAGACCCGTTCACACAGCAAAGCGCGCCGCGACACGCTGGCACCAATTGTACCATCCGCCTCGATGGTAAGGAACATGCCCGAAAACTGTCCGAAAAGGACGACATCTCGGTCATCAGCTTCGCTGCCGCGCGCAACGGAAAACCTTGGCTGACGTGAGCGCGCCTCAACCAAGCACAGGAGGCTTTGTTGAGAGGCCGATCGGCCACAGTGTATGCACTCAAGAAGAACCAGAGCAGAGGCATGAGAAATCAAGGGTTGCCAAGAACGAAGGGCATGACTCAAGCTCCGATGGTCGCACGAAGTTGGGGCGTTCAAATTTCGAAACTTTATGGTGGAGCGTGCGCCGTGAAATTTCGGAACCCCGGGATTGATTGGCTGATTGATTGATGTTCGTCGCTTAACCGTATTGCGACGAACCCAGAAGTACGGCATGCGCGGGACTTTGCGCGTTTAAGCCTAAGCTGCGTGAGGAGGAGGGTTAAAGGTTCACCACTCACGAACCACGCAGCCAATGCGGCTTCCAGATGTTCAACGCGCAAATTTGCGAATGTGTGTGTGTGTGTGTTGTGTCGTGTCGTGTCGTGTCGGGTTCTGCGTTTTGGCTCCTCCCAGCCAATGTGCCAAACCCAAACACTACACCCTTCAATGGATCCCAACAGAAACTTGGCAACCGCAGTGATTGCTTTGGCACTCTAAACCTGGAGAGTGGCAAACCCTACGCCCTACAAGGAGTGACAAAGCCTGAATCAAGAAGGAACGGCAAAACTTCAAAATGCAAAACCAGCGAGACACTTAGATGGGATCTTGACCGCGTGTTCTTACCGGACGAGTCATGACAATCGAGCGCCTGGCTCTAAACAGGACTCCTCGACGTGTCTCCTGTGCTACACTACACCCAAGATCCCACCCTTTTGAATCCAGACTATTTACGTCAGCTCAAGACCCTATCCAAAACCCTAAAGGCTAAACCCTGAAAACAAAAACCCTGCCCTACCAGTGGGACGTTGGCTCCGGGGCACAAGGTGCGAACTCCGCCATGTTTGCCCTGCAGGTCTCCGCCCTTCTTCTGCAGCCGCAGGTAGCCAGACTCAGACTTAAAGCAGAGGATGTCCTCAACATGTTTGATGGCGCAGGCGTGGCTCAAACGTCTAGCTTATAAACTTTTTCTGACACAGTGCCAAGGAGAGATGCAGCCCCAAAGCTACATTATCATCCTGCAACGAAAGTCTGTAACCTTACATCGAATGCCACTTTCGCATGCGCGAGCCTTCTGGATCCTTTCTGCTTGTGCTGATACTGTTGGTGTGCAAGACAGCCACTATCTGTATACCGGATGTTGCCTTCAGCGAGCAATGGTCATGGGCGTTTCAGCAATACATTTTGCCGTACTCGCACCGAACTGTGCAGCAAAGTGTTGTTCGAAAGACCCCCCCCCAAGGGCCGTGCCGTAAGGCATCGTTTCGTACCAAGACCCTGCAAAATTTACGGCAAACACCGTCGTAATGCAGCAACCACACCGTATCGGTGCTAAAGAGTCGCTGCATGATGATGGGTTGAGATGCCGTATCGACAACCGTGTCTCGATTTCCATGGCCTGAGCTGCAGAATGCCTGTTGTGAGTGCCTGAAGCTTCAAGAGATTTGCAATGGGTGGCAACACGGCCTAGAGTTGTCCGTAGTCTACAGTATCGTAGAGGCGATGGCAATGGTGCGAAAGCACCCTGCGAAGTCTAGACGGACTTGTCATTCGTAGCAGCGCTGCCTTAGGACCCTGTCTATCCGCTTGACAACAGTTCCATGGCATGTGGTGCTGACAATGCTGTCCTGGGCAAGACAGGAAACGGTCAGCGGACCGATCTGGATGTCGGGCTGATCAAACCGTCGTAGATAAACGACATCTCCAGCTGCCAGGACAGGGCCGCGACTCCAATGTGTCCACATTCCTCGGCCTTTGCCCTTCCCTGCCTTGCCTGCCTTACCTCTTTCCCAGCCCCCCATGCCAGTGCCTTTGGGCCAGCCCTTCCCCAAAGCCTGCTCCCCTTTCGCAGCTCCGCCCCAGCCACCACGCCACCACCCTTTCTGAGGACCTCTGCTGTCGCCTTTGCTCCAGCCTTCGCCGGAGAACTCCCCTCCTTTGCTCCACGCACCCTTGGCCTTGCCCGCACCTTTGCCTGTCCATTTGCCCTTTGATGTCGACGCCATGTTGACCATACTCTGTACAATGGGCGAGCCTAGAAACTGCGGAGTGCAACGGGTGGTCCTGATTTTGGCAACAGCCTAGGATGTGCACAGCACAGCTTTTATGTCGCCCTGGCACTGATTTGGAGCTGGCACATTCTAGGCGTGACTGCACCACGTACTGTGACTGCAGCAATCACTTGACTCAACGACGGCTGTGGGGCCACCTGAGCAGCGCCTCCGGCCATGACCTGTCACGATGGATGTCAGGCAAGTCCAAGTTGCAGGGAAGCTTCAGCGCTTGAAGAGAGTTTACACAAATCCGGCGGATGAATGCTTCGTCATAAACAATAACTTCATCTGACAGAAAAGGCAATGCAGCCAGCCCAACGCATCCGAAGGAACACGCGTTCCTCATGGTGACCTGCATGCAAAGACTCCGGTGGCAAACGCGGCTTGCTTGATCAACTCTCGCTGTTCGCCGCAAGCCTAGCTACGTGAGCCTTTGTTGGCGCGTCTTGAAGAGCGAAGTAATTACATGTATGAGTTCATGGATGCCAGGAATAGTGCGAATGCGCCGAATTCACCTTTAGCCTCCAGGCTAAGCTTGCGCTAGGACTTGCTTCTGCCTCTCTTCTAGGCGCTGTTGTCAGCAGGCATTCGCATTCCACCAGCTCAATGCGTCAAAAGATTGATTGTCCAGTGTGCCAGTACTTTCCTATGTGGTGTTATGTAGATGTTGCTACTCTTTCGCGGGCCCAAGCATTATTCGAATCGGGAGGCAGCCGCGCACCCCGGCACAGTGAACCCAACCAGGCCAGCTCCAACAAACGGTCCGAAGGCGATGTGTCCATCAGGTCGTCGTGGTTCAGCACCACCCCTCAGGCACTGCTTGTTTTGCTGTTCCGCAGGGTTGAGGCACGAGGCCTAGAGGTTTGTTGCACTCCGTGTGCGTGCAAGCTGGGGACTATTTACTATTTGTACTTAAATAACACTCAGTATATCTCAGTATGCCATTTACGAAACCTGAGCTGAGGCCTTGACAAAAGGCCGTCGAAGGCTAATTAGGTGAGAGCGCTTCCCGCCCCTCACCCCTCATGAACCTTCGTCTGATCCGAAATTAAGCCTGAAGCTGTAGAGGTTAAAAGCAAAGGCTTTTCCTGACCGGCCGAGCCAGGAATGTGCGAGAAAGGGCGCAGTTGGGGACCGGGCGCAGAACCCACGACTATTCAACTGCAAAGCCAAGCTCATGAAAGCCATGCTATCCAGCTGGGGGCAATTCTCCCGGAGCCATAGGAGTTGATGTTCAGCCTCAGTTTGAACTCTTGCTGAGATTCAGTATCGGGACATTTTGAAGTTGGCGGGTGTTCATACTAAGCCATGAAGCTCAGTGCCCAATGAACTGCTCATGGAAACCCCGGTCCAACGGAGATGCAAAGAACAACCTTCAACGCATCCACACCGAAGAGGAGCATAATTCCATGGGTAGGCTATGATAAGCTGGATGTCATTTGCATGCTATCGCACTCCGCACGCTTGTTAAAATGGGCTGTCGAGCGACAAGGTGAGCTGTCGACTTCGGTCCACCTCCGCAGGATGGCTTTTGCTGTGATGTTGGGGCGTTCAAACCCACAAGAAGTCGCAAAGATACAGAGCCCAGTACCAGGATACAGGGTCCAGTACCAGGATTGTCAGTTCAACCCTCCCCGATTGTTTCTCGCCTCTTGGAGAACCCAGGGTGCCGATGTTGCTGATGCCGGCTTGGTTCGCATCTGCACCCTGACGTACAATCAGCGCTTCGACGCATCGCAAAGTTTCAAGGAATGGATAGGAAGGGGCTGCCCAGAGGACCCTGATTTAGGATGAAGGCAGATCAAGTAACCTTGTTGTTCCATGAGGATCCCAGGCGCTGTGGAAGAAGAACTTGGTTGCGGCGCCTGTACGTGCCCCTGCGTTTTCAGCGATTTGAGACTGAGGCGCTTTGCATGGATACGCGCGAAACCCAAGCGTGAGCGCAATTAAACTTTGGGCCTAACTGCGTTTTCGCTCGGGTTTTAAGCTCATTTTTGAAGAGGCTGCAGAACAACAGTTTATTTTAGAGAGAGTTTTGGAGGATGTAATTATGGCTGAGTCTAAACGTATTTGGGATTTGAAGACCGGGTCATGGGTTTAATGTTGAGGGTTTTGTGCTTACAGGGTAACGCAGTCAAGCCCAGTTTTATGCGCATAAAACGCTGTAAATACCAGCGTTCTGGGCATGGTCGCGAAAGGCATGGACGCTTGTGACAGAATTTCTTGTTCCACTTCTTTGTGCAGTATGTTAAAACGCTGTACATGCCCGTGTTTTTGGGCATAAAAACGCTGTAATTACCAGTGTTTTGGGCATGGTCGCGAAAGGCATGGGCGCTTGTGATAGATGTTCTTGTTCCAAATCCTTGTGTGGTATGTTGTACAAAGAGGCGAAAACGCTGTCAATACCAGTGTTTTGGGCATGCACGCAATATGAATGACGTTCTTATCCCCTCCCCCCCCCACCCCCCCACCTCCCTCCAATACCCTGAAACCTGCAAAAACGCAGGGGCGCGCAGAGGTGCCGTCACCAAGAACTTGGCTGGGGTCCCTGCTGGCCGCCTTGCAGGCTGAGCCTTGGTCTTCGTACTCATCTTCATACCCGCGAGGCCCCGAGGCTTCTATGCTTTGGGGGTATTCGCGGGCATGAACGAGGGTTTTTCGATGCCAGGTTCTGTGGCGGAAGCCCCATGGGCCTGGCTTTCGAGAAGTTGATTCAACCCATCTGCTTCTCCTGCCGTTCCCTCTCGATTCTTGAGATGGCCGGCGGATTTGGCTTTCTGTATCACATGCGTGCTTCAAAGTATACTGCTGAAAGGGGACTGCGCCCACAAAACAAATTATTTACTTCGAACATCCCCACCCTCTCTTGGTAGAGATACTCTGGGGTTGGGCACTCAGGGACACTCTGGGGCTGGGCACTCCGGGACACTCCAGGGTTGAGAATCTAGGAGATTTGAGGGAGACTGGGGCTGGGAATCTGGGCACTCCAGGGAGACTCTGGGCTTGGCATTGCACTTTAGGGAGACTCTGGGGCTGGGCACCCCTGCAAGACGGGCACTCCGGGGACACTCCAGGGTTGGGCACGAGAGACTCTGACTCAAGGCTCCGGGGTTTTGCACTCCAGGAAGACTGTGTGGGTTGGGCACTCCAGGGAGACTCTGGGGCTGGGCACTCCGGGGACACTCTGGGGTTGGGCGATTGGTTTTGGGGATTCTAGAGACTCTCTGGGGTTGGGGACTCCAGGGACACTCTAGAGTTGGGCAGGGACTCTTTGGGGTTGGGCACTCCAGGGACGAGCGAGGAGTAGACCGGGCGAGGAGAAGAGTTGAGTTTAAAATCTAACAACCCCACACCGAGGGTGGGGAAAAAAGACACACGCACACACCACACACATGCACTCGGCGCAACATGCTCAGGATCATGGCGTGGACGAGCAGCAGAACGGCAGCCGATGCGCCTGGTTCTCACGCGCGCATGCGCTGCCCAAGCTTTGACTGAGGACTCTGTCAGGCCGAATCCTAGTTGATTGATGCTACTGTCATATTTAACGATGCCGCAGTATGTGATCCTTGTCTACCTCTCTCAGAGCCATGAGGTCATCAAGTCGAACCCTCAACTTCTCTCCGAGCAGGCCCTGAACACTCCGGTGGAAGGTTTCCCTTCCAACCCCTTGTCAGCTCGATTCCCCCAACGGACTGCCTGAACTCCGTAGCACACCTTGCCACATCCGATGAGGAAGCAAAGCCGACCTGTTTTGCAAATTGTCGTTTCTCACTGCGGAGGCATAGAAGGAGCGCATGGATCTGCAGATGGTTTAAGATTGACTGTCTGGCGGATCTTCAAGACTGCTTCCCAAATCATACGACAAGCTCATGCACGCAACGCGAGACGTCCAAGCTGGCTTCAGCCGTTCTATCGAGCCGTGACTGACTGCTAGGAATGCCAGCTCATCAACAGCCGGCGCATTTAAAATCCCCAACACAAAACCGATGCTCCGAGCCCATGGCCTAAGCAAGACTTTCGTGCACGCTCCACCTGCCGGGTAGGGCAGCATGAATGGGAATTAAAGACCCGGGTCCAGTTGCGCGACGTTGATCTTGTGTCGTTCCTGCTCGTTTCTGCTTGGGAACCTCAACTGTAGGAACCAAACCGTTGAAGAACCGGGCTGGCTATGGTCCATAGGCACACAACCACATAACAATTCCAAAAACCTCCGGCCCTGGACAGGATGGGAGGCTCTACAGATAGCAGATAGCATGCCAATCACTGGCAGGAGGAAAGGCGCTCACGTGTGCGACTCACATACCGGCTCCCGCGGACGAATCGAAAGGTCTGGGAGCCAGCAACCGCCGCACAAAAGTGTAGTATTAGAAATCGTGGCGAATGAAGCATGCCCTCCCTGGCCCGTTGCCGGCGGCCGAAAACGAGCATGACACCGCCTCCTACAATCGATGCATCGGACATTGGACCTTCAAAAGACCCCCCTGATGACTCAAAAGCATGTATTAGTAGACCAGCACTTGCTGGCTGAACAGCTCTCTCTTCGTTGCCTGCTAAGTTTCCGAAGCACCGAACCAAAAAAGAGGCCTTCTTCGATCTCGTGACTCAACTCACTTGGCTGTGCCATGACAGAATTGCCACACACGCCTTGCTGGGAGACATTGACATGTTGCACACAACCAAGCAGCGTACCCCATGAGTGACACTGGCATCCATGCCAACAGAGAAATAGTTTTGGAAGTAGCCTTCCTTGGGAATCGCGATGCGAGTGCCGTTGTACGGAACTGATTGCACGTCACCCTTTCATCTTTAGGAGTCCAGGGTAGTCCAGGGTACGAGGTTGAATGTAAAGCCAGAGCTTTTAGCATCATCATGATTCCTCAGGCTCTCTGAAAGAACCCCCCCCCCCCCCCGCACTGATTCGCAACACAAGCACTGTGCTCCTTGAACCCTCTCTCAAGTATCCCGATTCCTCGCTCACCTCACTGCCTCAGGAGCGGGCAAAGCATCGCTTCTCCGGAGCGACCAGCTTCTGGATTGAGGTAGGGATTTTTATAGGCAGGGATGTTAAGGTTTTGTTGGTTTGGGGAGAGTTTGGGTCTTGGACGGAAGTAGGATGTCAAGGAATGTTTGTTGGACTCGACCTCTCTGCCCATGGCATGGCTGCACCTGCACCTGCTGCAGAATCAGAGCCTGTCCTTTCCAGCCGAGGAGTAGAAACTATACTCGCTGGATCAAGACTCAAGACCTGGCACTGCACCCTATGTTCCTGGCCTCCCGGAATGCCGGCGGCCTCACTGTGATGTTTTGCAGCTACCCTTCATAGAAAAGGAGCTACTGCAATGGCACGGAGAAGGCTTTGTTGGGAAGGGTTTGCTGCCGTGGAAGCCTACTCAGGGTCTGCTTTCTCAGAACTGACGACTGCATGTCATGTATGCCTGAGGCACACCGGACCATAGCGGACCCTTTGGCGCCCTGTCACAATGACGTGTCCCGGAATAGCTCGAGATCTGCATCATATGCCCTGCATCCCGGTGTTCTGAGCAGCGCGACGGGCAGTTGTGTGTCTGAGTCCAGCTGGGCCTCTGAGAACCTGGCACACGCAAGTCGGTGACCTGATTTGTGACCAGGTCCCCCTGACTGAAGGTCAGTGTCACCTGCCATTGGTCCATCCAGCGA